TTAAATGTTCAGGCATTTCAGATTTCGGATTAGGAATGCTCAACCTGTATTATAAATTTCATAAAACAACGGCTATTATTCTTATAACTTCTTGAAGCATCTAGAAAACTATACGCCACTCATTTTTGTTTTAAATATTTTAATCTTCCTTTTTTATTTTTCTGCATTAACTTTGGTCTAATTTTATTAATTAAAGAAGTCATCCACAGGAGACTATTACAATTGAGTTAAACATAAAAAGTAACTGGTAAACATCTGGTATACGATAAAGTGCAACCCTTCTATAATACCTACTAATAAAATTCACAGGGTTTTTTTTCATATGAATCTGTACTTTTGGAAAATTTACTTTTAAGATTTTTCGGGATTTTTGTAGTTTCTATGTAATATTTATTGAATTTCTCTATTTTTTTCTCCAATATTTTTACTTGTTTCTAGCTATAATAGTTGGTTTTGTAGAGTTACCTTGTTCACTTTCAGTTGACTCATAGGTTTTCTAATACTAGCATTCAAACCATCAATAATTATTTGTTCTCGTACTAAGGGTCATATACTTGCTTACACTATATACCAGCATAACAGGGAGCCAGTACAGCATAGTTGTCATGAATACAAGCTATAGAATCAGCAGGACCTAGATTCACAATTATTAACTGTGTGATCCTGGGTAAGTTCCTTTACCTCTGTGTCTCAATTCTCCACACCATACTGATTTTATAGGAGCCTTGTGAGAATTAGGTAAGTAAAGCACTTGCTATAGTGCCTAGCCTGCAACAGATAAAGACAGATATATCAAGAAAAAAAACTATCATATCATTATTTATGTTTCATGCTTTTATATTTACCAAAACTTCTAGAATATTAAACTGTATGGTGAAAAGAGATATTTCCTCATGGGTCCTGATTTTTAAAGGAAGAACCTGTAAGTTAGGTGTCTACAGGGCATTCATGGACTACCCTCCCTTCTCAAAGAGACCCACAGAAAACTACTATAATCATACACAATTTATCATGTATATGTCAGTGGATCTGCATTTTCTTACCACCTCAGAGGGTGCATAAATTTCACATACATGAACACCAAAATGTTTTCTAAAAATCATTACTATCCTGTTTCCAATAAAATGATGGCTTTTTCCCTTGCTATTTTTATATAGTTATATGATTTTTATTCCATTTGTTAGCATTATCTTAATATTGACTGATATCCAACTTTTAATCTATTCTTGACTTCTTGAGCGGAAAACTACTGCTGAGATGGATTATTCTTTTAACAAATGATTAATTTCAATTTGTTCATATTTTTGTTGTCAGTATATATTCATAAATGAGACAACTCTAAGTTTCTCTTTAAAATTTTGTCTATATTTTTGCACATTTATATTTTTAAAATTTATGTCACTTTGTTTGATGTATGAATCTTGCAAGCAGGATGCTTGATATTTTAAAAACCTATTTTAGAATCTGCTTTTAAAAATAGCAAGCTTAAAAACCATTTACATGTATTGTCACAACTGAATTTGCTCTTACTTAAATTCATTTCATTACTTTCTTCCTTTTAAAAACCTCATTTGATTTTTTTCTAACCTCTCATGACTTAGTGCAATAATCTATTTTACATATTACTTATTTTACTTATTTCAAATTCTAGGATAAAAACATAACTTTTGACTATAACCTAGGAATGAGAATAAAAGTTGTATGATTTTTCCCCCCTTTGCAAGCTAACCAGCTTTGCTCAATCTTTGAAAACAATGTGGTTCTGTTTTATCCCATTGTCATGTATACATATCAAATATAAATCTTCAGGAATTATTTTGGGCATATACAATAATTAAGAAAGTTCTATATATTTAACTGTTTTCAAGACTAATCCAACAATATTTTCAGATCATAAATTTTCTTTTAAAAATTTGTTTTCTATTGATATATAATAGCTGTACATATTTTTAGGGTACATGTGATATTTTGATAACTATATATTTAATACGTAATGACCAAAGCAGGATAACTTAGATATCTACCACCCCAAACAGTTGTCTTTTCCATTTTTTGAAACACTGCAAATCTTCTGCTAGCTATTTTGAAATAAATAATAAATTATGAATTATAATCTCCCTACTATACTATTGAATATAATCTAATGCATTTTTATACCCCTTACCCAACTTCTCTTCATCTTCCCTCTCAGATCACAAATTTTCTATTCTTAAATTCTTAACTTTGATTCATGTCTGGAAATGGTACTACATCTCCAACTTATGTATCTTCAATTTATTTTTCCCCCAGGAAAGGAACACTGATAATGGTTCTCTAATAACTCATATTTTTACTATTGCCCTAACAAATGACTGCTAACTTGGGTGGATTCCTTGGGTCACAATTTTTCCCTTAATACTATTAATACTCTATAAGTGGATATTTTTCCACTGTCTTTGGATTTAGTGTTTTTAGTCAGAAGTACTAAACGCACTAGATGTTTTTTCTGTTTAGATGTTAGCAAAATTTATTTTTCTCTTACAAATAAAAAAAATGTTTGTAGATACAGTTCTCATCTCATAAATTTTACCTGGAATGTAAGACGAATTAATCTCTTCAAAAATTTTTTTTTTAAATCTCAGGAAGTTTTCTTCATCACGCTCTCTTCATTGTTTCTGTTTCATTAGCACTGCCTTAGATACTTAAATGTAGGACAAATATGTCTATTGGTCCTCATCATTTCATTTTAGTTTTGGCCATTTGTTCTCATGGAAAAGGGTCTCAAATTTGGTTCCCACATCACTGATTAGATTTTTTTCATGATTTCAATTCTACTATTTTAGGCCTGAGATATAGTTTTAAGGAGGCAACTGACAAAAGAACATAGGCTTTAAAACTGAAGAAACTGGTCTTAAATCCCAATTAACTTATTCTTGACTATATGACCCGAGCAAACCATTTAACATCTTTGCTTATAAAATTCTCATGTGCAAAATAAGTCACAGTACCTGTCTTGCATAATTAACATAAAAATTAGAAATAGTATTTGTATGATTCTTATTACAGTATTTGATAGGTAGTTGAAAAAAAATGAGTAAGATAAACCTGCCATTTTTATGAATTCTCTTATTGTGAACTTTATTTCAGATTGCTTCCTTTTTAATATCAACCTGTTCTATACATAAGATTTCCTATTCTTGTTTCAAAGAGGTCCTGTCTCCTCCTATTTTATTAAAATAGATAACACTGAGTTGTGGTTAAGACAATGAGTTCTGTACTCAGACTGTCAGTGTTGAACACTGGTAATAGTCACTTACTATGTGACTTTGAGAAAGTTACTAAACCTTTACGATTTGTTTCCTCAACTACAGAAAGAAAAATCTCATAATTTTGTTGTTTGTACTAAATGAGTAAATATATACAAAGTGTTTAGAAGTGTTTTTGAAGATAGAAAGCACACCTTTAGTAAATGAAAGGAATGAAAGGTATTCATTCCTCTTCCACTCCCTAAAGTAAATCATGTCAAAAATATTGTGTTGTCCTTCAAGTCCCTCCAGTACTATTCCTCTACTTTTGAGCTGGAAAATCTCTTCCTAAATACTTTTTTCCTACTGTACTAAAGTCTGTTCAGGACTGTTTACCAAGAGAGGCTGGGTAAATTATGCTTAGTCACCCTACATTTATGTGTCCCTCAGCATCAAAACTGAACCTAAGATAAATGGGCATAATGTCTGCCCATTCCCTCATTATCCATTTAATTTAGAATTCTTGGTCTAATCTGTACCTGGTTCATGGCTCACAACCCAGTTCTTTAACACTGAGAGAAAATATAAGATTCTTCTTTGACCAAGTCCATAAAAAGACTATGCAGACAACTGTTTCTGGTGATCTTTCAGCTTTTACCCAATATAAACTACTCCATATGAGGGGAGGGCATACACCACATGCAATGATCCAACCTCCATATGTCACAAATCCATACCATATTGCATACCGATACCATCAGTAAAAGCACAATCTATTTTAGGCAGCATTCACTATCGGAGCGCTAACCTGTCCTATTCTGTCAGAAGTTCTTAACTGGTGTGCAGTATCCTGGCAATCTATGAACTCTCACATGTATATGGCTGGATTCTGTCCAATGTTACTACTTATTTTTGCCTCACTTAAGAATATATACTGATATGATATATTGAATGTGATATACTGAATATATACTGATAGTTGTCAGACAGAATACTAAAATAAATAAGCCTCATGAAAAAATAAAAAGTGGTATAAATCTTGCTACAAGCAGAATGTAGGATATAGAATTCATCATAAAACTCCTGCAAAGAAATATTATGTACCATTCACCAGGACACACAAGAACTTATTGATTTGTTTATGTGTGAGGACACAAGAGAAAATGGATAAAGAAGTAAAAAGTGCAAACTGAAGTAGTGAGATAGGAGTAAAGAATAAACAGTGCATTACCCGTGGGTGCTGTTATGAATACTATGATATCATAGGAATCAGGTTGTAATTAGTTGTTGATTTGTTTAGTATCACTTTGAGTTTTGTGTTTTTAATCCCTTCAAGGATGCTGTCAAATGCCTCAAGCATAAAAAAGTAAGTATTGCCTAAGGTCATTGATTTCTGGTTCTGCTGGGTAGAATCACACAAAATAAGTCTAAATAAAAGACAAGCCATTGAATATTTGAAGTAAGATATTACTTCCTAAGTTCTTCACAATTCTGAGTTAAAAATCTTGATTTTCTTCAAAAATGTGTATCTTGGCTAGTTTTGAGTTTCCCCATTATCCCTGGTCATTCTCTCCAGTGTCTGGTTTTCTTGCAGAAAAGCATTCAAGACTAAACTCCATATTCCAAAAGTGATGTTGATTCTAATGTAAACTTTATTTTACCATGTGTTATTACATACTATTTTCAATTTGCAAAATTCCTCAGAATGTTAACATGAAAGCCCCATAATTTTATGCAGATATATTAATCACCATTACCAGATGATCAATTACTCACTGAGATGTTTTCTCTAGATTTGACAAGTTTTTTCTTCAGTTTTTTTCTTTCACATATTAGATCGTTATGAGTCTTAAGCAATTCTTCAAAGTGAACTTCATTTTTCACTTTTGCTTCATTCCCAACTAAAAAAGACAGACTCACGTTATTTTTCAAGCAACTCTATTATTAAACACATCTGCATGACTATTTTGTTAAGGAATAGTCTTATAAGCACCTACATGAGTTCTGTAGCTACATCAGAATGACTAATTGATTTTTCCTTCTTAAAATGTTTTCTTTTGACTTGGTGACACCACAGAAACATCTACCACTGTTAGTTACAGATTATGTAGCTTTAGAGAAGTTACTTAACATCTCTAAACTTCATTTTCCTTATCTGTAAAATCTCAACAATCCTATATCAAAAACCAAATTGCATGAAAAATAGCTAACACCTGCCTTGCCTGTAATCAACACTGAACAATATTGAATATCTTTCTTTGAAAACATAGATCAAATTATTCCTCTGCTTAAGACCCTGCAAGTTTCCCATTTCACTTAGATAAAACAAGTCTTCAAAGAATTAAAAAACAAGAAAAAAAATAAGTAAAACGAGTCCTTCACATGCTCTATAGGAGTTCTGCACTTCCTGACCTGACAATCTCTAGAGTTCCAAATCAAGACAAATATCCTCTCAGAGCCCTACATTCTAGCCACACTGCGCTTATCCATCAGACAAGCTCCTTTCCATGTGCAGCTGCTTCTACCCTGTGCAAGCTTCCTCTAACCTCTCACCTGGTCAGTATTAAGCTGCCTGTTTAAATGTTGCCTCTAAAATGGAACATTTTCCAACAAGCTTATCTAAATTTTCCGTCTTCTATCACAGCAAGCTGCTCTCTTCCTTTGTAACATTTAACCCGACTGGAAATTGTATAATTATTTTTATATCTATATAAATAAACATATTGTTTCCCACTATACTCTATAGGTCATAACTACATCTCTAACTACTATCATGAGACCCGGCAAAGAGTAAGTAGTCAACAAATATGTTTTCAGTGATTAAATGCTGAATGAATTAATGCCCCAGAGAAAGTGTTGGCAAACAATAGCCTGCAAGCCAGGCACCTGTTTTGTAAATAAAGTTTTATTGAAACCAGACATGCTCATTTGGTTAAGAATTGTTATGACTGCTTTCATGCTTTAACAAGAGCTGAGTAACTGTGGCAGAGACCTAAAATATTTATGAGCTGGCCCTTTAAGAAAAAGTTTGCCAATGCCTGCTCTAGGGTAAAACATCCAATTTCAATGATAATAAAAACTAACCATATGTTGTAATCATTATTTATTTTGTCCAGCTGAGTTCCAAACTGTCATCCACTGAATAATATACTAACCTTAATCACCAATATTAAATAGAAAACTCAACACCAAACAAACAAATATCTCTAAATGTAGTATTTGTTGACTGATATCTAATTTACTCATTAATGTTAAAGAGCCCCTTAAAATAAACCAAGCTTAAAAATAAATGTGCAAAATATGAATTTTAAACATATATTTCTAAAATTAATATATAACATGCTCCATTTGTTTTTAAGTTCTAAACATTTTTTTGCAGGGTCAGGGTCTCACTATGTTGCCCAGACATTCTTAAACTCTGGTCTCAAGTGATCCTCCCACCTTGGCCTCAGAAACTGTTGGGACTACAGGCATAAGCCACTATACCTGGCTAAATGTACATGTAAATTTTATAAAAGTCTTACCAGTGGGCATATCTCAGCTTTATGGGGAACACAGAGAATGTAAAGCATTGACTCAATCCGAATCCTATTAAAACAAAGAGGATTTATTTGCAATATGAAACCTCCAAATAAAAATTATAAAACACTATTCACACAAGATTATGCCATTGTGTGTTTACTGTCTCTTTAGATTTACACCAATAAAGCCCAATCTGTGCAAATGACAAGTACATTTGAATCAGTTTAGGGTCCTGAAATCAAGTGAAGCAAATAGATCACATCTGTAACAAAATATTTACATATTTGAAGTAAAAAGTTAAAAAAATTGAAAGACAGAAAACATCTAACTTGGTATGTTCATGAACTTTTAAAAGCGCTTTAATAAACCAATGAACATTTCAATGTACTTTTAAGAAACCAAACTCCATCTCAGGTTGCCTTCCCAAGAGCATACACTATCACATTTGTAAATTATGCTTGTGAGTAGCACACTCACAGATAATAAATTTAAATATCTCTGTATCTGCCACCGAAAATTCTGCTACAATAGGGAAGGCTAGTATGAGCATTTGTACTATTTTTCTTGAATAAATACCTGAGTACATATAGTGTGCCAGCCACCTAAAACCATGGATAAACTCAGTATGTATATTACTAAACTGCCAACTTTAATGAAAAATGAGGTGGTATCTAAAACAAACATATTAATTTCTGTATTAAAACACAATATAAATACGGTTTTAAGAATAAGACTGAAAACTGTAAAAATAAAACCAAAAACATATTTTGAGCTGGCTCAGGCATCATTTGCTAATGCATCAGCTTTCAGGGGATCCACATTTATGTTTTTTCTGGCAGAAATGTATGAGAAGAAATGCTAGAAAGAAAAGAATAATTATGCAAGCATACCTAACTATGTGAGTTAATTTAGGCAACAATTATCTGGTACACAGACAAAACAGACATTACTAAATCCACATAGGAAAACTCCAACACTTTACTGCTGGGAGCCTGTATTTACTCTTTCTAGTAGATATAGAGCTAATAAACCTGGTTTTTACTTTCCAATCTATACCAAATTTGGAAAGAGAAAGGCTACAAAGGCAAGTACAATGATAGTATCAGTAACTGAAACTTGACAGCATATAAGTAAAAAAAAAAGTATAAGGTAAATAAGCATTTAATATTTATACTATTATATGGGTATTCAATATGTAGGAAAATAGCTGAACTAAATATGACTATAAGTCATCAAGAAAAGGGCTCACTTATATCAGGCATATCCTGTTTTCTCTTGCGCTGAAAATTTACATAACATTTGAGAAAGATGAAATAATGAAGGGGCAGGATGATTCCCATGTTTCTAGAACTAGAATAAGTAGACCAGTGATATCATTAACTGTAAAATAATGCAGTATAGTGAAATAGTTTAAAACCCAAGTATTAGAATTAGCCTCTCATGGTTACTTGAATGACTTTTGGCAATTTGTTTCCTTATATGTAAAAATCACCCTACCAGCACCTACTCAAAAGGTTACTGTCAGGGTTAGATGATTTAGAACAACACCTTAGAACAAGCACAAATAAATAGTAGCTACAATTATAACAAGTACTTTTTTTGGAGTTGGAGTCTCACTCGGTCGCCCAGACTGGAGTGCAGCAGCCTCGCCTGCTGGGCTCCGGGGATCCTTCCACCTCAGCCTTCCGAGTAGCCGGAATTACAGGCATGCGCTACCATGCCTGGCTGATTTTTTGATTTATTGTAGAGATGAGGTCTTGCTGCCCAGGCGGGTCTCAAACCCGCGAGTTCAGGCAATCCACTCACCTCAGCCTCCCAAGGGCACGGGATTACAGGCTGAGCCACCGAGCCCAACTTAACAAGTACTTCTTATGGGAACAGGCAGTGAGCTTAATGAAGGACATGTTAAGCTGGGTAACTGAGGGGCACGGAGCAACTACAAGCTGCATTGTGAGATGGATGCAAATCCCAGTTCCACCTGCCAGCAGGTTAATCTCTATGGACCTCAATTAACTAACCTTTATAAAGAGAATAATAATGGTAAATCATTCATAAGGTTTTTGTAAAGATTAAATGAGAATATGCAAGTAAAATACTTGGCACAATGCCGAGTGCACAGAAGTCCTATCTAAAGTAACGGCTGTTATTACTGAATACGCACTCCCCTCTATGTGTTTGTATATATATGTGTGTGTATAATCATATTATGTTTTGTAGGCAATAGAATATGTTAATATATATATATATAGAATATATTAATTTGGCAAGGACATCTAGGCTGAAGATTTGGGAGTTATTGATATATATGATGGTTGCAAGAAAATAAAAAGTCAAAAAGAATTCTGAGAGCCCATAATACAAAGTAAAAATAAATCCGGCAAATAGGGGAGAAATATAACAGAAGAAAAAAGAGTTTTAAGAAAGAAGTAGTCTGTACCGCATCGTGTCAAAAGGGCATGTTTTGAAGGGTGTCACTGGATTTGCAATCAGGAAATCACATGTGCCAAAGCTGCTAATGAAGGAGCAGAAACCTGGCAGCCACAGGTTAGGGAATGAATGAAAGGTGAGATGTGTAGAAGGGATATGTAAATAATTATTTATAGAATTCTCCTTCCAACTTTCTTCCCCTCATCACCAAAGGAGTCACATGAGACAGTAGCTCTGAGGGACAAAAACTCTGGAAAAGTTATGCTGTCCGTTTTAAGATTGTTTCTATGCCTTCATCACCATCTCCTTTACAAAAAATCATCTTCTACACTGCAATCACAGTAATTTTCTCAAATTTAAACATGATGGTATATTTCTTTGTTTAAACTGCTTTACTAGCTTCCAATCACCCACTGAAAAAAATATCAAGTCCTTACCATAGGGCTCCAAGGCCATTTATGAAATGACTCCTCACCCTTCTTTACATCCCCTTCACAGGGCCCACTTCCATCCACGCTCTGTGCTCCCACCAAACAAAACTATACAGGTTCTCAAATGTGCCAAATTCTCTCTTGCTTTTGTAACCATTACACATACAAGGTGGGGGGAGGACACACAAAAACCTGGAATTACTTTTTGGAGGGCAGGCCCCTTGTAGTGTAGGCTTCCCCTGCTAGATACGTATTCTAGGAATCTATCAGCATCAATGTACCAGTCAGTGTAGTGAAAGGCTGCATTTGGCTTCAGTACATTTTTTTTTCTTTTGAGATCCTTTCATGGCATTTGCCCATTTCATGATAGATGGTTTACACTAACAACCTGCCTCTACTGTGCTACAGCATGACCCCAGTGCCCCACCATCCCTATTCACCTGAACTCACTGAATATTTTTTTTGTTTCCCCAGATGAATAAAGCCCTCAAAGGGAAGCGTTTTGCCAGTATGAAAGAGGTGAAACTGAGTTCAAAAACTATTGTGAGCAGTAAAAGACGCATCTCGATGGGAGTATTGCATCAAATGGGGAGTACTTTGAAGGTGACTGAAGTTTAAACATGTAAGAACACACAATTTTTAATAAATGAATTCCAGTTTTTGGCGGGTCTCCCCACACAGACCCTCTTTCTTGAGAAATGCCCTTCTTCTTCTGTCACTCTAAATCCTCACAGTCCTGTGACATTAAATGCAAACAGTACCTTCTCTAGGAAGTGCTCTCACCTTGAAAGGTAGTTAAGTACTTCTCTGTGCTCCAAGGATACTGCCCTCATCTTCCATACTTCTACCTCATCCTGAATTTTCACCCTGGTAAAATGTTCTCTATGACCCCCACCAGACTGCTAGCTCTTGGAAGACCAGACCTGTGTTCTCTATATTTATGTATCCCCATTTAAAACAACAACAACAACAACAGTAATCACGGGTCTAGAGTCAAAGACTCAGGCTTGAGCTCTTGTTTAGCCACTTACTGATCTGTGGCCCTGGGGAAGCTACTTAACTGCACTAAGCCTTGGTTTTTTTCTGACCTGCTAAATTGTGAGGAGAAAAGAAAACGCCAACAAGCAAATTAATCAGCACATCGTAGGTGTTCAACAGAATTACTCTATGTCCATTATTACTGTGTTAGAAATAAGTAAAAAATTATATAATAAACACATGATTAAGTAAATTATGTATTTTTATTATTAATAGTTGAATGCACAATTGAACTAATAAATACTATTATTTAATGATAACATAGCAAATACATTACAGAAGTAAACTCTAAATGTTCTCGTGTACTACAGCTAACACGTTATAGGATTAACGATGGACATTTGATTAGTAACATTAGCTGCGAAAACTAAGGTCAGATTTAAAATGACATCCCTGAATCTTATACATGCCATTACTTAAAAACTCCACAAACCCCAAATACAGTGTTAAAACACTTGCTATTTTAATTTCTTTCAAATATTATTTTTAAAACTCCCCAGAGTCCTCATAAAAACAATCTTCTTCCTGAAAGCCCAAGCGGTAACAGCGATCGTTAACGCAACAGGTGAAAAAAACTGTTAGCATCTCTTTCTCAAAAAAAGGAAGAGCCATATTTTCACGTAGACGTTTTCACAGTAAAGCCGAAATGCAGCGCGACCATTTGAAAGGATTCCTAAAGAGTCTAAAACTTTGGTTCTATTTTTATACATGCAGAAACGACCCAACTGATACAATTTGATCCTTTTCGGATGAACGTACCACATCGGTCACCTTTTCTCAGGCGTAATTAAGAAGGCGTGGACAGGTTCAAGATTCAGCACCAGGTTGATACTCTAGAATAAAATACACATACTCGGTGCGCCTCTGATTCAAAAGCATTTAAACCAGAATCGAGAGTGGGAAAAGGCAAAGACCGAGTTCACCGCCATAGCAAGCACCACGCTCCCCACTCCGGAGACAAGGAACCCGAGGAGGGAGCGGGAAAGTACGGAAAGGTGTCTCTAAACTCGCACCCCTCCGCACCGGGGCGCCCGGCCCGCGCCCAGCGGGTCGGTCCGTGATGGCACGGCCCCCACGCCGCCGCCCCCCGACAGCCGGGCCCCCGACAGCCGGGCCCGGCCTCCCGCCGCCAGCTTAGCCACAAGGTACTCACGGAGAGGGGTGCGCACAGCGGTCCGACCCGCCGGACCCGACGCCC